TGGCCCCTGCTCAGCCTGCTTTCTTATGCAACACAGGCCCACCTGCCCAGGGGTGGCACCACCCACAGTGGGCTGGGCCCTCCCACATCACTCATCAGGAAGATGCCCTTCAGACATGGCCACAGGCCAGTCCAATAGAGGCAATTCCCTGATTGAGGCTCCTTCAACCCAGGTGTGTCAAGTTGACACTAAAGCTATCCAGCACAGTAGCTTTATTAGAGAGCAGGGATCACACAGGACTTAGGAGTTAGCATCGGGGCCCTTCTTGCCAAAGGTGGGCACTACGTTGACAAAGCGCCAGTTATGCTGCATCTGCCTCTTGGATACCCTGTCTTCCTCCTCCTCCTCTTCCTCTTCTTCCTCCTCTTCTCTGAGGGTCGGGTCCTGTGGGGGGCAATCCCACAACCCCATGACAGTTTGTCACTTGCTCTACCTTTAAAACTTTTCCTCAACAGTTTTTAGATTTTTCTCCTTTGTGGGGTGAGGGGGGCCTCATCACACAGAACAAGTGGGGGAGGGGCCCTCATCACACACCCCAAGTGGGGGAGGAGCCCTTATCACACAGGACTTGGCCCGCCCCCTTTGTCCTGTTGATCTCAGGAACGTTTCTTTGATTTTTGCAGATCATGACGGTTCATGAGTGGACAAGCCCATGGCTGCTGCTCTGTCCTTGCTCTTCCTGAGCACCACTGCAGCTCTGGATATTTCCTTAGACTGCAGATTGCGATGCCAGCAGTGGTAAGCCAGACTATTTCTAGTGTTATGTTTCTTAATTTTTCTTGTTTGAGTGCATTGCCTGGTATTATACATTAATATACTCAGTGTGCCTGCGATGCCTGTGCATGTGTGTGTGTGCATGCCTGTGTGTGTGTGCATGTGCGTGTGTGTGTGTTAGAGAAGCATCTACTTTATTTTTTATCTATTTATTCATGTTTATCTTCCCAGACTGATTTTATCTCTAGACGTTCAATTAAGTGCTTTGCATTCTCTGTAGGGCACAGATGACGGTGCACTGGGGCTGGAGAAAAGCAATACAAAATGATGGAAAACCTCTTGGTACCTGAGGACCGGGAAAGGTCCAACGTCAAGGCCTGGGTGGCCAGGACCACGTGTGGAGCCAAGACCACAGCTGACCGGCAAGGGAGGCGGGAAGTCCATTCTAGAGGATCTGTGGTCCCCTTCCATGAAGCTGGAGCTATGGTCCCCTCCTGTTCTGGATTGCTTTAGTGTCTACTTGACACACCTGGGTTGAGGGAGCCTCAACTGGGGAATTGCCTCCATTGAACTGGCCTGTGGCCATGTCTGTGGGACATCTTCTTGATGGTTGAGCGATGTGGGAGGGCCCAGCCCACTGTGGGTGGTGCCACCCCTGGGCAGGTGGGCCTGTGTTGCATAAGAAAGCAGGCTGAGCAGGGACCAGGGAAGCAAGTTGAGCGATGTGGGAGGGCCCAGCCCACTGTGGGTGGTGCCACCCCTGGGCAGGTGGGCCTGTGTTGCATAAGAAAGCAGGCTGAGCAGGGACCAGGGAAGCAAGCTAGTAAGCAAGGATCCTCCATGGCCTGTGCTCCAGCTCCTGCCTCCAGGTTCCTGCCTGAGTTCCTGCCTTGGGATCCCTCAGTGATGAACTGTGACTCAGAGATGTAAGACAAATAAACCCTTTCCTCCCCAAGTTGGTATTGGTCAGAGCTTTTTGTCACCACAGTGGAGAAAGAAACTAGAACACTTCTCATGAAGTTGGAGCCATGGTCCTACATCAGAGCCCGGAGCCAGAGCCATGGTGTCACGTCCCGTGTCATCCCCTCCCCCCTTGTGAACAATTCTTTGTCCTTCCTCACAGACAGAATCTGATGATGTCTGGCCTTCTGGGTCACACATGTGCCAGCATCCACTCCATGGATTTGAGTTGTTTTGTGTGTGTGTGTGTGTGTGTGTGTGTGTGTTCACACTTGTAAATGGATCCCCATTTTTACCAGCTGCATAACATTTGGCTGTGTGCTTGGTTGTACATTTGTACCAAAATTTATCTGTGAAGCTCATTTTGGTGTAAGATTCATCCATTTGGGGGTCCTCTCTAGATTTTGACCATTGTGACTAAGCTGCTAGGGACGTTCACACAGGTTTTAAGGTAAACATAAGCTTTTCTTTTCTGGGGCAACTCTGGGCTGCATATGTTAAGATTATGCATAGCTCATCAAGGCAGAGTGTGTTGCTGCAAAGAGGCTGTGGGTGCCTGTATGGCAATAACTGGGGATTCTAGAAGCCACAGTCTTGGTCAAGACTTGCTGTCATAGGTAGTATCAGTGTGGGGTCCTGGACTGAATAAAAAGAAGGAAGTGAGCTGAGCTCCAGGGTGCTCTCTCTACCTCTTGACTGTGGACGTGATGTGACCAGCTGCCTCATACTCCTGCCGCTGTGCCTTCCCACCCTGATGGACGGCACCCTGAGAACTATGAGCCAGATAAACCTCCCTTCCTTACGTTCCTGTTGTCAGGTGTTTTGTAATAGCAACAAGCAAAGTAATTCTCCCTTCCTCTCTTCCTTTCTCCCTCTCTCTCTCTCTCTCTCTCTCTCTCTCTCTCTCTCTCTCTTACTCTGTAGCCCCAGTTGGCTTAGAAGTCTCTATGTCCCAGGTTGGGCTCAAACTCACAACAATCCTCTGGTCTCAGCCTCATGAATGCTGGGCTGTTTTCTTTTTAAAAGAGTACTTTTATTTTATGTGTATGAGTGTTTTGCCTACATGTATGTAAGTGTGCCACATGTGCAATGCCTGAGAAGACCAGAAGAGCATCAGATCCCTTGGAACTGGAGTTACAGATGTTTGTCAGCCAGCATGTAGAAGCTGGGAACCAAACCCCTGTCTTCTGCAAGAACAGCCAGAGCTCTTAACTGCTCAACTATCACCGCAGTCCTCTGAGCAGCTTTCTTATGGCTGGGAGAGAGTTATCATCTCACTTCCTACGGACATATTATTGTTAGATACGTGATTTTCCAGTATTTTTTTGGCCAGCCTGTAGTCTGTTTCTTTGTTCTCTTTACAGTGTGACTTTTATAGAGATGAAGCCCAATTTGTTGATTTATTTACTTTTTTCTGCACACCTTTGTTCTGCCTTCCTGCCTTCCTCCCCAGCTTGCTGTTGCCTGGGGGTCTTGACTCACATGGTCTCAGACTCAGCCCAGGAAGAGCTCCAGGCTTCCTCAGCCCAAGGGAGTAACCATCTGCAGCTCCTCAAACGCTTTGTTCTTCAGGTTCAGTGGTTAAGGTGTTAATCCATCTGTAATGTATTTTGCTGTGACGATGGCTTAGAGATTTAGTTATAGTTTATAAAAATTAATGAGCTTGTATTGCAACACTCTGTTGAGTAAGTCTTGTCTTTTCTATATTTACAAAAGTGTTAGGATAGACTAAGTTCCCTCCTGGCTTCCCTTGCCTCCCTCCTCCCTCTTCCCCTCCCTCCTCCTTCCCTCCCCTCCCTCCCCTTCCTTACCCTCCTTCCTTTTTCCTCCCCTCCCTCCACTTCCTTCCCCTCCTTCCTTTTTCCTCCCC